CAAAAATAGGTTCCCGCAAATAAACTTCAAAATTTTTCCCGCAAAAATTTACTCCAGAGAAAATATTCTCCAACTTAGATTCACCCCTCAAATATACAGTACCAAGACATAGTGTCTGTTCGATCACTTACACTTTTGTCTTTTTCGTTCAGAAACAAAGCGGTATACAATGAAATACTGACGCACACCATGGTATTGTTTGAAAATATGTATTTCTATTGCACGTACTCAATAAAAACAGGAGCCGCTGTGTACTGGGTACTTTATGACTGAATCGCAAAAGTTAATTCCCAGCAAGAAAAACCAATCTGTCCTAATCGCAAAAAATTAGTTTCCGCAAAACACAAAAAATCACCAATCCGCAAAAATAAACTCCGGCAAAAATTTCGTGCCACACGGTGTGTACCGATTAGCGTCATAATCGTCTACCAAATTTGGTCTACGTTCAGCTTGTTAAGAAGAATTAGTGTTTGAGCTAATCCAAACTGGATAAATATTTTGAGGGATAAATAATTAATTTTGTTATTATTAGTATAGGTAATAGCATGATTTGGAGTAGACTGCGAGCAGTCTCTGGTTTTCTTCAGATTTAGTGAGAGCAATGCACGCGCACGGAAGCGGCGAAGCCGCGAGACGCGCGAAACGAGGGCGGCGTTTTTCGTGCCTCTCCCGTCTCGCGCCATCAGTCACGCGCGTGGCCATTTGCGTGTCTCGCGTTTTGCTCGACGGACTACAGAAAAGAGAGACTGCTCGTAGTCTAGATTTGGAGTGATATTTGGCATAAATACCACAAGTGATATTACGAAATTGTTATACGTAATTTCACGAGCCGTTAGGCGAGTGAAATTTGAGACAATTTTGAAATATAACGAGTGGTATTTATGCCAAATATCACGTACAAATCATGCTATTATTTGTTTATACTACTACCCACAAAATGTTTGTAATTTTCACATGTAGGTATTTCAAATTAAGCTGAAATACCACTGCCCTAAGCCAATCAAATTGCAGAAATTTCTCATGTAGTAATATATTTGTTATTATTATTATTATCAATTTTATTATTATAAACGTTAATATTATTATTTATTATTTAACATTATGTATTTTTTCGCTCAGGATTGACCTTTTGCTTTACAACCCTCGGTTGAAAAAAACAAACAAACAAAGAAACAAACAACCATCAAGAGATTTACAGTAGTTTTGCCTTATATAAAGTCACTCAAGAAAGCCTTGGATTCTGGACTCCATGTACTGGATTACGGATTCCATGTCAGTGGAACTTGAATTCCGGATTTCCAATAATTGACGGGATTCCGGTTTCCTTGAGCTGAATTTCCGATTCCAAAGCCCAGGATTCCAGATTCCATAAGGAAAAATTTCCCTGGTTACGTAATCCAGATTGCCTTTTAGCCCACTTCTGCTCAGTATGGAGCGAGTTTTTACGGACTGACTTGTTTCTTTAGCACTGCATCCGACATTGTCCAAACGAGCGATTGTTTTTCTGGCGGGGGAAGGGGGGTTAGGTATGGCAAACCAATTTGAGGTCTACCAAAACTTAATCACGTTTTTGAAAAGACTTGCGCAACCCTAGTTACAGCGGTTTAGGCATAAAAGCGAGCGTTCCAAAGGGGCGTATCATAATCTCTAATTTATAGGTTCAAGGATAAATGATTTAGCCTCTATACTAGCAGCTGTACTTGCTATGCATCTTCTTGCTAAATGAATTACACTAAATGTTTACTTTCTTAGAGAAAGTTACTCATAACAATTTATTCAAACAAGCCTATTTCCACAAAAAATCGCCAAATTTACCTGATTCAACATGCAACCGGTTTGTAACCTGAAAAAGAAGAAATTTCCATGTTTTGTGTTAAATCCTTTGATCCTTTTATCCTGAGGCATTAATTTTATTTGACAAGGGAATTTTCCTTTTAACAGGTGAGATATTAAGACAAAATCCATCGGGAAATCGAGTAATTGTAATTTTCAGCGGCAAACACCTTGTACCAAAATATTGTAAGTGATATCGCATTATTTTTTACACTTTTCAAGGGCTATAAATGTGATAAGTTATGTGAAATAACTCCAAAGGAAATGGGATCCCGAGAAAATAAATACAAGAATTGAGAAAACATCGTCATGCATATTGATTTCATTAATTTGTGAAATTTGAGGCTGTTAAAGTTTGTTTTCTCGGGCTCCGATAAGGACCTTTTCTTCGGAGTTATTTCATACAACTTATTACATTTATAGCCTTGAAAAGTGTGAAAACGAAAGCAATATGCTCGGAATTATTCTCCTACAAGGGAGTTTTTGTCCACTGAAAATTAAAATTACTCAATTTCCTAATGGATTTCATCTTAACTTAAGTTTGTTCCCGATCATAGACTGGGGTTTGTGAATACATCTTATTTTCTATTCTACAAAACAAAAGAAGAAAAAAATACAAAACTGATGACGTGAGAAAGTCACATAAACGGAAAAAAAAGAAAACAATATCACAAAGGAGATACTAGGGTGGTAGTAAAACAAAAGTTCAAGATATTTCAATTTTCGTAGCCGCAACCTTCTCGAGTGTTTTTGAATTTCTAGAATGTATTATAAGCAGTATGAGAAGAATTCATTCAAATAATTACAGTGAATTAACAAAGAGTTTCATAGTGTCTCGCTTTGTATTCATCTGCCTCAATGCTAAACATTCATTGATTCTAACACAAAACAGAATATCTCAGTACACAATACACATGCATATTAACTTGAAAACTAATTGCTGGAAATAATTTTTCTCGGAGCAAGTTAAAAGCAAAGGCATAATAACAGAACCTCAAGATTATTAGCTGCATATTCTTTTCAAAAGGGTATCCGCGTTTCCTCTACCGGTTATTAGAACCGTGGACGGTAAAGGAAACACAGATCATGCTGTCAAAAGTCTAATGTCAGTGAAAATAGGTTTCTAAAGAAGGATTACAGTAGCTTTACGTGCTCTTGAAACCATTAATCAGGCCCTCAAGAGACGGAAGCCCAAGTTCTAGAAAAAGTTTGAATATCAGTCTATGCATTTAAACTGCTTCGGAGTAATTTTATTCATTTATTTTACTCTGTTTTATAAATATTTATATTTAAGTCTTGATTTCAATATTGCGAATGATAACATTTTCACTTCCTCATGGTGGGATCTAAATTTTCTTGCCTCGTTAGGCCCGGCTCATTTTTCGTTAGCATATTAAATTTTAATCAGTAATAAAAGCTTGTACTTAAAGTTGAAGTTTTTTTTGCTGTGCTCAACCAATCAGATCCTAGACAAATTGATAAATGGGATATAATCAGGTGCTTGCTATATGTATTCAATGTGGAATCAGCAGGAACAAGGTTCGGTGAAATGTCTACTTTGATGAGAGCTATTTTAAGGAAAGAGGTCTTTTGAGGCTCAATATAACCGTTTGCGTCTTAAAAACGGTGAGTCGTCTTCCTGTTCTGAAATAATGAATATTACGAATTTCATATGTAATGTTTTGTTACTTTATGTTTAGAAATTACTGGTTTTAGTTTTAAAAGTCATTTTTACATTGCTGACTGCTAGATTTTTAAATATTGTTGACATCACCGATTTCCCGATTTCTTCTTTATATTTAATCTATTTCCCCCTTTTTTTCTAAAATAATAATAATAAACAATGTAAAATATCAAGAGCTGAACAAGAATTGCGTTCTACTATTTTTCATTTTTCGAGTTATTCTCAGTATCATTTTTATCAATCAAACAGCGAAGTGAGCCTTACTTTTTTATCGTGTATGATTCTGTCAAAAAAAAAAAAAAACGAAACATTCAAGGGAACGGAAAGCTGCCCAACCACCTTATAACTAGCTCGACGTCATCGCTTTTAAAAAATGCTAACGGACTTAATTTCGTTTCCAAAAAGACTTTCGCAGCAAAACTGATAGGCGGCTCATTTTCCGATTACATAAAAAAACCCATTTATCTACGTTGAAATCATTTTTTAAACAACAAGCGAAGGCCCCTTTTCCTGGTGGGGAGCGTGCAAATAAATTTCACCACCTTTAAATCGGATGCCGTGCACGTAATTTTTCTTTGTTTTGAAAGTTAGAAATTTTCCCAGCAGTATAAAATAGACAGATGTATGCACAGTTAAATCGACTTATTTCAAATGAGTTAAGCTATTTCATATCTCAGTTCGTGCAGATACAGTATTTGTTAACAACGCAGAGAAACTTAACTTAATTGTCATCCCTAAACAAGAATAAGATTAAAGATAATGTAAGACAAACTGGAAAATGAGGAAAATTGAACATACGTATCAAAGGTTGGAAGAATGACCAGCATGAAACATACTAATCTTAAAAAAACCCATGACATTAATTACTTTTCTAAACAGTGGAAAACTATGACATGATTTATGAGGAATTTTATAAGGTGACATCGTATTTATCACAGACTGAAAACAAGCAATTAATACCACAAGGTCTCACATCAATTTCACTTTGCACTACAAGCAAAATAAGTGACAGCAGATTCATTCTATTTGATAAAACAAGCCAAGAGAGCTGTTCCGTGCAAGATTGCTGTTGGTAATTATTATGGTAATAATCAATGCATAGATCAGACAAGTCAAAGACTAAACATTTAGCTTTTGTTATTTTGTTGTTTTTCTCTCTATGTGTTCATTAGGGTTTTCAGCATTCGAAGCTTAAGACATCGAGAGAAAAATAAAAACATGCTGTCACGAATTAGTACAATGTGTTACAAAAACTGTGGGGTCACTTTTCATTATTATTCCATTGCATTTACTTTCTTTTTAATTTTGCACAAGAAGGACAGTAAGATTTGCACTCTTATAAAAAGTCTATTAAGTCTATAAATTTATAGACGTTTTACTATCTTTTTAAAAGGTCCTGTTTTTCCAGTAACTCTATATTCTCTTATCAGTAAAAAGTAATCTCGTGTTTCGTTTCAGACTACAAAACTTCTCATCTGTTGTCATGGTTACAATGTCGCGGGTAAGTCCATTACAGCCTGAGCATCTGGTTTTGTCCACGAGGAACGTGTCACGTGGGCGAAGGCGCCTCCGAATAGCTGTGATGACGGTCATGTGTGTGATTGCCATAACTGGTTTAATAATTCTCACGATTTTGGACAGTGTTAAAGTAAGACAAAGGGGTGTCAAATTGAGAAATCTACAAACAAGTGTGAAGCTAAGCGTCGAGATCGCAAGTCTTGTTCACAGGTTACAAATTGAACGTGGCACCAGGGTTATGTACGTGAGTTCTGGCTGGGATACAGACGCCCACAAGCCCGTGCTTGAAGCAGAAAGGTTAACAGATGCGATGGTCGAAAGTCTGGATACCTGGCCTCAGAAATTGGACCGATTTGGGTTTAATAGCAAAGCCACTTTTATGACGTATGTAGGAGATCATCGTAATACACATGGTGTCAACAGCAGTACCATTGAAAACGAGATTCGCTTTTATTCTGATATCATTTCAGATCTGTTTGACTGGTTCTTTCTAGACGTACCCTTGACCGAGAACGATGTTCTACCAGACTTTATAGGTTACAAAATGCTCCTGGTTGGAAAAGAGAAAACTGGTATTGAACGCGCTCTTGGGGGTTCTTATTTCATTCGAGGCCACTTCAATGAAATCCAAGACCTCCTATGGTTTGCAAAACAGAACGTTCTTGGAAAAGACAAACTCTACTCTAGCCTGGAGTTTATGCCAGAGATCAAAGAGTTCTACGACGACGCACTGAAGGCCAGGAACGAAACACTTCTTCTAACAATAGAAGAGAAAAGGAAGGTCATTTTGACAAATGATAAACAAACTCCTTCTGTCGATTTGGGTATAAAATGGTTCGATCTCATGACGATTTATATAGACGCCCTACTGGAAGTTCAACATCATGTCAGTGATGTTCTCCTAGAGAAAGTTCAAAATAACGTTGATGAAAGCGACCAAGATTTAGTGCTCAAACTCGTTGTGTTCGGTTTTGTCGCTCTCATTTTGATGCCCTTTTTCGTGTACAGCGTTTATACGATGCAGGCCTACGCTGCCAAACTTCATCAAATCACTAAAGATCTTAAAGAAGAGAAAGAAAGAGCTGACACACTGCTCTATCAAATGCTTCCCCACCCAGTAGCAGAGCAGCTAAAATGCGGAAGGAACGTGACAGCGGAGCAGTTCGAAAGCGTGACAGTCTTCTTTAGTGACATTGTTAATTTCACACAAATATGCGCCAATATTTCACCAATGGAAGTCACGCAGATGTTAAACAGGCTCTATGGGCTCTTTGACAACCACATCGACAAATATAACGTTTATAAAGTAGAGACTATTGGCGACGCTTACATGGTTGTCTCAGGGCTTCCAGAAAGAAATCAGGATCACGTATCTCAGATAGCGGTGATGGCGCTTGATTTGGTGGAGCTCATGGAAAAATTAGGCGATCATCTTTGCGTGAGAATCGGTATACACACAGGTAAAACTTTAACGCTAGTAAAGGATGAATACCATGAAGATGTATTTTGCAAAACTCAAGACTTTTCAACACCTTGTATGGAACGTAGACATGAAGGGGAGGTAGTGTATATCATTCGGTAGTTATGGCGATCAGATGTGACGTCATAAATCACATGAAGTCAAGAACCAGTTTGGCCTTAAAAGAGGCGGCGGGTTTATTGGGCCCCTCCCTCAGAGTTGAAGTTCCTCGAGTATGATTTACTTGCTCCACAATTTACGTGCGAGCGTGCGTGGCAAATCAACGTCTCAAGTTGTTCGTTTGCCTCGCTTGCTGGTGCGTAATATGCGCGCCAGCGCGACAAACTTGATGAATTCGCTACTTTAGAAACGAGAAGCGACTTAGACCGAGTTAAATATCGCAAAGACTTCTAGGACTACTATTGGGGAAAGAGAAACAATGGACAATAGCAGGAACCCATTACCCAATAGCTCCTGCCAATAGCTGACCGGCGCGTCTCCGGTAACGATCCCAGACACAACTGGGAGACACACTTCGGCTCCAACCACCTTATCGTTAAAGTGGCGAATGCTAGCAGTCTACTAATGACTTTATGACAGGTTTCTCAGACACATTTTTCCTTCTAGGCCCTTGTGCGGCGGGAGTTGTGGGAAACAAAATGCCTCGTTATTGTTTGTTTGGTGACACTGTCAACACCGCGTCTAGGATGCAGACGACGGGCATGCGTGAGTATGAACGACTCAAAATTGATCAATATTTGTCCACCGTTGAACGATATCGATATCTGTTGACTGAGTAGTCCTCAAACATAGCATGACAGAGAGTTTGACATGCAGCACTCGCGGTCTGATCCCTCCTGATCAATAAATCTCGCTCTCTTTGTAGCAGGCCTTTGGTCAACTGAAATGGGCTCTAGGTTAAAGTTGAATATCTACTAGCCTGCGTCGCAGATGTTACCTAACCTCTGTTAGTGACGTCTGCGAAGCAGAGCCGATATCCTTGTTCTGGGCCCACAACGGACTCAATGAATTACCGGAAATGCGTTTTGAATTTCCCTTCAACCTGACTGGCAAATGACGATGGCTTTTTTAAGAGGCCAATCATATCGCGTAGTCAAACCCTGGTACACAGGTTGGGGACCAGAAATAGGATTTCGGCGCTGTTTCGCGGACGGACTTAACGAGAAGTTAATTTCCCTCCGTGGTGCAGGCTAAGAATCTACATGTAGCATCAGAAAGGCATGATGATAGTAAACTTCGAATGGCAATTATTTGTTTTCAGAATTTTCAAAACTTCACGGGGCATTCATTTATTTTTAGCTCAGAAAATTCATGTCAGCCAGGATACAAAGAATTTGCTGATTCATCTGAGCGGTTATTCTCTAGAATTCAGAGGACAAGTGGACGTTAAGGTATGCATAAAAGGGAAATAAAATTTCGTCGTTGCTTGTTTACGCTCTCCGCGTAAAACACAAAATTAGGCCTTCTCACGTCGTAGTCGTGCAAAAACGGCAAAGAAATGTACAAAAAAGTGTGATGCACGAGCGAAGTTGTTGTTTTGCTTATTAATCAAACCGATTGTTTTTTAGACGTTCTCTTTGCTGTCGGGTCGTTGGATCTTAAAGTCCCTTATGTCACTCACAGTAAAGGTCACGAATTATGATCCAACCAGACGGTAAATAACGAAAACTTAGAAGATGAGGTTGCAACAACTAAGAACGTTACCCATTGTTAAGCTAAAATATGAAGTGTCAATTTCCAATCTCAGAAAAAAAGTGAAGGTTTTGCGCGGTCTTTTTTTCAGTACGGGATTCGCAGAAAGTTTTCGACCTGAGCAATATAAAGCGATACAACCATCGATACAGCCTTGTCCTCAGGCAAGGCTCTGAGAACGAGGTTAAAAGCGACTGTCAATAACGGTGTCACAGTGGTATGGGCATTCCCGCGGTTTGAGCATCCCCATTTCCAAACCCTAGTGATATGGGCATCCCCTGTAACCATAACCGTAACCGTAACCCTAATCTGAATCGTTAAGGTAATATGAGAAGAGGATGCCCATATCACTAGAGTTTTGGGAACTGGGATGCCCAAAACGCGGGGATGCCCATATCACTATAACAACGGCACTCAATCCTCATCCTGCATTCGCTACTTTAGAAAGGAGAAGAGAACTGGAGTCGAAATGCGTCCCGCAATTTTTTCTGGGATTGGCCAAATCGCCAATAGTCCTCGTTCGATTTATTAAAATTCTAACATGACTCCGAGGCCTTCTGATCATTTTTCTACATTTTAGTTTTCTTTCCTGTGCTCAAGTCTCTTTTGGGAGTTGCGAGACAATGGAGTCTTGAGAAATTTGCAATATTGGCCCTAAAACCTCGAAGTCAGGTTAGAATTCTAAAATATCAAAGGCGGGTTTTCCCCTGTCGTTAGTTTCGTCGTTAGTTAGTATCATGAAGGAACTAATTATCTCTTATTCTCTTTTGCAGGGAAAAGGTGAAATGAAAACTTACTGGCTGTCAAAACACATGACATAACTCATTTGGTGTCGGTTTTTATTCAAGTCAGGGAATATTCAGTTATGGGTTGTGACCATCCTCTTGCAGCGTTGCATTGAAGATGAGAGATTATCCGGGAAAATTCACTTGTTGCACTCGGCATATCATGCGGTTTTTGAAAATTTCAACAGAGACCTTTAGATTCGAGGATGAGAACGACTACGAGTACGAGATTTGATTTAAAGTTTTTCGCGTATTGTCAAAAAATAGACACCCCAAAATTATTCAATGTACTTTTTTTTTTCAACAGAAAAGTTAGCGCTATTAACAGTTATCACTGTTGAAGGAGTTAAGCCATCTCCCAATCGCAAAATTAAAAAAAACTCTTAACATTTGATAACTTGTTTCCACCACTACGATATTCTCGCTAAAAACTCGTTGTGGAATGACGACGGTTACCACGTTTTCCCGCCAAAATAACACTGGTTCACGCACGCGCACTACTTAGTATCGAGAAAAACTCTTACTCGTGATCGTTCTCGTCTTAGAATCTAAAAGGTCTTTAATATGTGGACGTATCGTCATTAGCTTGTAATATGATTATTACCTAATTAGTAGAGGAGACTGGTTATGAAAGCCGGCAAAGATCAAAGATAAAAACAACGGTGCTGCAATTTATGCTGGAAGCTATCGCGCTGTGAACAATCCTTTGTTTTTGTTCAAAAATCGTGATGGAATTAATGCATTAATGCGGCGTGGTAGGAATGCTATTGAAAGTTGTGCACCTTCAACGGAAGTCTGACGGGCTTCATAACCATTCCACTCTATTAACTATCTTTAAAGCTCGGAAATCTAAACTTCTCACAATTACCTTAAATGTAGCTGAGATGTAAAAGGTTGTAATGCCTGTAAATATGTAAATTACTGTACTACTGCTGTATCAAGTTCTCCCTAACTAATACTTGCGATATCTGGTTAAATGACGTCAATAGTACAGGCTGTCGCCAGACAAACGCCTTTAGCCGCGAAGCCCTGGTTGTTTTCGTAGAGCTTGAGAAATGGTGAGAAAATTTTACACCTTACGTGGAGAAGAAATAGCCGAACGTCTTCCTGAAATCATACCAAGAACACCGAAGATTCAACGAAACGGATTAAATCTAGCAATTATTTTAAAGTATAAATTATTTTGAATGAATAATAAAACAATTATTGGGTTCATCTTTCGTGTGATCTGACAAATTATTTGTATCCCGGAGGGTGTTATCCGTCTCAGCAGATCCAATAATTGCAAAATTGCACAGTTTTATTCAATAACTGAAATTATTCCTATTACTAAGCACAAAGGTTTTTTTTTCTGACAATACGTTCACCTTGGTAGTAATTAGAGGTAAACGTCGGGTGGCTATTTAAAACATCTTGGAAAATTACATCGACACATAAGAGATATCAAATCAGGAGAAATCGTGGTAAATACCTTCTCTTAATATTATGGATGACAAATTACTCCTTGTTTTGGGCGCCAAAATTTCAACTTTCAGAATTTATAAAGGAGAACGCCGAAGTTCAGTATGTCTCCAGGTGGATGGTAGATGTTAAAACTGCAAGATGTCAGGGTTTTCGAACTGACGCATGTAGGACACCTAAACACACAAAAGCGCAGCATTTTTAACTTCAAGATGGAGTTTTTTGGGCAGTTTGTCGAAAAACTCAGACAATTGTGATCTTTACTTATGCTTTAAACTGTTTCAATACCAATTTCAGGACACACGCATTGACGCAGATACTAGAGAGATTACGAGTCACGTTTACGACAAACGGCAAACGTGAGATTCAAGTTGAGAATTTCTCTGAACAGACAATAAACAGATAAAATCTGTCCATAACTATTCTTATGGATAAAACTGGCGTGAAACTACTTTTTTTCGAGTAGAAGTAATAAACAGTAAACGACAATTAAGGGTAAAACTTGGTCACGCGGCACAAATTCACGTTTGACGTTTGACGTATAGCCAGTACCTTACGCATATCACCCGGGAAGTGGCAGCCAAATTGAACAGCTGTCTCGTCCTCATTAGGACGCATCAGCATGGTATAGCGCCTCAGCAGTAAACGGCGGGGTAGATGATCGCAAGTGAGACCTCTCGCCTGGGGCCATGCCATGCTGATGAGTCCATGGCTGCCATTTAAGCCACTGCGCAGGCCATATGGCTGTGCGCATGCGTAAGGTGCTGACGATACCGCGAAGTTGGTATTGTGTGCTTCAGTGCTGAAATTGGGATTGTCTGAACTGTCAGTGTGTTGAATTCTCAATGCAGTGAAAAAGTCGATCAAAACGGTCACAATTGTGGGTAAATAAATTTCCCGCCCATAATACTGATGGATAATTGGTATACTTGAGCAATAAGGAAATGATTTTATAATTACTTGCGTTTCTGTCAAAATTCTAATGATCTGAATTTGTCCTAATCAAGGTTCGGGAAACTATTTATTATTATTATTATTATCATTATTATTATTTGACAAAACTCAGGTGAAACTGTTTTCTAATTTTCCTCTCACCATTTGTTTACGCATACTAATGTCACTATTAGAAATCGACTCTGGCTTGGCATGCGAAGCGGCCAATGGGAATTTTTCACCAGTTTTTAGAACCATCTGGCCTTAATTGTCTCGATCACATTAACATGTTAAAAGAATTTTATCTAAAGAAAATGGTTTTTGAATTGAAGGATTACATTATTTTAACTTCAGTCAATCCCTTTCAACTCTGAAAACTTTTAAGTTTAACAATTAAAATTGTTCTTTTAAAAAGGAACCGCTTCATAGGTTTCATTTTTCAGAAACTTTCACCACGTTTATTATTTTCTGTTATTATAATATATTATGGTAGCAATTACCAACAATTACAATTTCACAGGGTGCATAAGCAATTACTTTTTCTATTACAAAGGTGTTCTAATTGTTTCTTCTATGTCATTTTTGTTTCTTAAAAAGAAACTGTGAGGAAAAAAAATTATGAGGGTTTAGAGTTTTCCATCTTTTCAAGCCTGTTAATTTTGCATCCTGTCAAATGCCTGGGCGGCTTTTAAATAGTAGTTTCACGATCGATTAAGTTGCCATTTGGAACATAATTAGATACCATATTACTACTAGTTATCATAGTCAGAAATGCATCAACTTCGTATAAAAATAAGGTCGCAATACTTTCCTAATTAGAAGCGCGGACAAATATTGTTTCTATGGCATAAATTGCAAGACGCATTCAATTAAAGCCATCGTGTCTTTGTGTTAATTCAGACTTGTTGTATCTTTTTTCTTTTTCTTCTGACTTTAAAATGTTAAAAACTTTCCTTCATTTAGAATTAGGGGATTTGAAAAAAAAATTGTTAATATCTTATTCCTGTTGTCAAACTCCGGTCGGTTTTAAAGAAAACAATATTTACAAATGTCTCCGTAGATACCTTTCTTGTTAGACGAGTGGGGCGGATCGAGTACAGGTGTATTACATTTCAAATGCTTTGATACACACAAAACGTACTTTCCAGTTTCAGTTTTTCTATCGCTACTCATTTTCGGAGAAACCCCTTCTTTTCGGTTGCCGTTACTTTTAGACGGTTCCAATAGCATCACCGTTTGTAAAAGTACACGAACGGTGAAAATATGAGATGGCTTAAAGTTAGCAAAAAATAATAAACGAATATCAAAGCGACAATCCATTCTGTGAAATATTCTATCAGTTCATTTTGGTAGCAATTAGGCAGCACGTGAAAGTTCTTCCCTCAGTTTACTGGAGAGAATAGCCTGTTCCAAACTCCTAGATATTGATGTATAGGGATCACGAAACACTGATGCGAAAAACGCACATGGGTTTATGGGAGAGGAGGTCTCTTTTCCCTTCAACACCCTCTTCTCCACATCACAGAAGTCTTATTTTCGCTTGGCTTGTTTTCGCAACGTTTCTAGCTATTATCCCAGAACCTGGCACAGGCTATAGAGAGAGGGGAGGCTACAACACTCGACTCATATCAGTGCAGTCCAGGGCGTGTCAGGCTTACAGCAGGTTAAAAACTAGAATTGACCAACTCGAGATCGATCGAAGCTCAGAATTCTCTTATCACTTCCACGCGCGCGGTCAGATTACGAGTGATAGAAAGTCCAAACTGAGCATGATCAGATTGCTTTTTATGCATTCTATACTTTGTTGTCAGACATGCGTGCCGCGCATGCGTAGGAGCAACTTAGAGATTTAGGATTGCGTGCTCATGTCCAAAGTTAGCGCAAAATTTCAAGATTATTTCTGTAGATTTGTTTTAGCCTACAATTTGATGTTTGATTCCCTAAAATAATCCGAAAAAGTAACAGAGGCGATTCTTTTTCTTTTTTCGTTCTTTTTTTTTAAATGGAACAAGAACCCAGATTAATATTTATCCCGAGTGAGCGATAATCGGCCTTTTGGCAAAGAGTCCCATGTTAATATTCCAGGGGCGTCGAAGCCATAGGTGAGTTGAGGCTGTTGGATCTTTTTTTCCTTCAAGAGGGTTTTCTTTCACCAAAAACCTCCACATTAAATTCTAATTCGCTCTAAGACATCAAAGATTTGTTGAGGAACCTTAAGATATATGGTGGGTGAACTATTTTACATCTTGCAACAGTCCTGCCTTTTCAAGTACAAGTTTAAAGTTGTCAGCTTACGCAATGACCATTTTATTGACCATATATGGTCACACAGCTGAGGGTTAGGAGCTCTGACCATTCTCCCTGAACCAATCAACATGCAGGAAATACAATAACCATAGTCCAGTTTAGTTTTCCATAAAAGCAGTTATTGTTTGATAGACTTACTTCGTTTGAATATTTAACGAATGTTGTACTTGGTAGAAAAATTGGAGCCTAAACATTTCCCTTGTGCTGGCCTTTGGCAGACCAATAATCAAAGAAAGAACTGTTTTTGATAACTGAGACGAGATGTTCCTGGCACTGTGCGCACAATTGATGAATACGAAGGATTGAATTCTCCATCCTTGGACCTGCTCTTCGTGAAGCTAAAGCCCGCGGAAAACCTACTTTGTCGTAAAAGAGGTGGGTTTTTTTTTTCAGTTTGCCAAAGAGTGATAAGAGAAAACAATATTAGATTTAAGCACTGTTTCAAATTTTTACCGATAGTTTGCTTTCTAAATCTTAAGGTCCATGTTTGTTTTACACTATTACTTAGTATGTTTAGGTACTTTTCCCCCCAAGGACATCCAGCTGTAATATTAAGGGATCGAGTCATTAGTAAATTTATTATAATTACAAAGATGTTCTCCTTGTGTTTTTTTAGAAACTGTATTCGATTTAGTTCTTAGCAAAGATTGAGGCAGCATTTTATCAGGATAAAAAAATTTCTTATGGAAAAATAATATTACCTGTACGACAAAGATTTTTTGAAAACCATTCGATTTTTTTGAAAACCAACCTAACGAAATTTGCAGTCATTTGAAAGAAAAGGCGTCAAAAGGCAGGCTTTTTGGGCCCGATAAGCTCCAAAATCACACTAACGAAGGAAAAGGAAAGGAGAAAAAGAAAGAGCGAGGACAAGGAAAGGAGAAGAAAAGAAAAAAAGCAATGGTTGCACTCTTAGTTTCACATAATGGCTACTTTTGAGGTAGTTTTTGACCGTTTGGCGGTAGCGTTTTCAAAAATATATACTCATCAGAAATTAAGACACATGATGTTTTCTCAACGTTTTTTTACCTTTGTCCAAAATTAAAATTCGTATAAGGATGACGTCGCAATTTTTCTCCGATTAAAGCGCGGGAAAACTGTTTTTATTGCAGTTTAACCAAGCATTCAGAAACTGATTGCTATACATATAGTTTATGATAACCTCACTTAGGGTCATGTGTTAAATTTAGGATTGCTTTTTCTATTCTATTTCTTAAACATGTTAATTGTGCCTCCTGCCATCTGCCACTATATTTTTTATCTTGAGTTCGTGCAAAAATACGATCACTTTGTTTTTCTCGGCTGATTGACGCGCAGGACAAAATTGTTTTCATGTAAATTGTACTTTACCACGCATTCAGAAACCGATTGCCTGCTTTACATCGATGATGACACCCCCACTTAAAGTGATGCGTTAAATTTAGTGTTGCTGTTTGTTTCTATTTTTTTTGTATATATTTTGACTTGAAAACTTTCGAAAGTTTCCTTCATTTAGAATAATCAGGCTTTTGGAAAAGAATAGAAAAATTGCGAATGTTTTTTTTCGATTTTTCTTAAACCTCGCGTTCTAGCAGGTGCCACAAACTGTAAGTCGCCTTTTCATACTAAACAATCTTTTCAAACTCTTTACAAGAATCACCGCAAATTTCGCGTGGACAGCTGTAGTGTACTCAGCTCAGTCATTTTCAATTGTTTAACTTAGCCAACTGGAAACTTCTATAAATTGCGAAATGTATTTTTTTGTGAAAACCAATCATTATATATTCTCGTTTATGGTACGTATGCTGAGATCGATAAGCTAGTTTGCTGACTAGTCGAGATCCGAGAATTGTAAACCGATCCAGAACTACTGACTCCGGCGTGACTTTGAACAAGTAAATCCTTCCCTCAACATTTTGTGGCTTTAATACTGATCGAACTAGATATCTATGTGGTCTTCTTCGAGGGAAGAGCAGAAACCATTTTCTTGTATTCCTTACTTATTCTAACCTGCTATCAGGCGTTTTTTTTCGGGGAAAGAGGAAAAAAGAAAGCCTTATACATTTACTTCACGGGTCGTCAGCTGCCGCCCCCTTACTAAGGTATCTGTCAACATTTGTGTTATTAAATGGCAGTTTGCAACGAAGGCGGCTATCATCGAAATATATTTATCTACTTTCCAGCAGGCAAGCGGTGAATGTTAAGTTGATACAGTAGTCGTTAGCAAAAACATCACAGATTTTAAAGACCAAGTTAGTACTGCTGTTATTGAAAATCTTGCCTTATCGTTGCCTCGTGGTACCTTTGATCAAACCGTCAAGTCAAACAAATTTATAATTCATTGAAAACAATAGTGGAGCAGCAGAATTCTGTATTTTACTGGAAGTGGTCAAAAGTATAGGAACTGATTCCGCGGCAACAAATCTTTCGTGGTCTTTCATCCGTTCGCAAAAGCGCGGGCTTAAAATCGTCAATAATTACTTTTTTTACACACTTTCGCGCGGTTGAACTCGATCGGAAATCAAACACAACAACTCTGCGTAGTGAGAGCAAGAAAGCGTCGAGGTAGCCTGAATTTGATCCGATTACTTCGAATCGTTATTACTCTCTCAGTTGTTGAGAGGAGAAAACGACTCGAAGCAATCGGATGAATTTCAGGCTAGCGTCGAAGAAGAGATAGCGGATATCCTTACCGGTAACAAATAACAACTCGTCCTCATCCCAGCAGTCGAGGATTTTTGCTGTTCATTGTTGACTTGATTCATTAAAAAAGTATTGATTGTTTTTCTTAAGACCTAGTTAAATAGACGGCGAGCGGTCTCTTTTTCTTTAGATTTAGTTAGGGGAGTTGAACGCGCGCGCGAGCGTCGAGCGGGGCAGCCGTGAGACGCAAGAAACGAGGGCGACAGCCTTCAATCACGTGCTCGACGGACCAAGAAAAAAGAAAGACTGCTCGTGGTCTAGCTGTTAAAAGAATTCCTCCATCATCTCGTGGTTTCTGTCATGAAGAGACGAAGGTGACAAAACCTATCTAATAGCAGCGGAAGTCAGATCTTTTGCTTGACTAATCGGTGCAGGGTTCCGGAGGATCTTTTGTTTTTTCGACCAATCAGGCAACAGTCCCGATCCTGGACCAGGCCGGTGCAGACGACGCGTAAAGTAAATGTATCAGACGTCCTTTTCCCCTCGTCTTCCAAACAAAAGGGAGGAAGGACCGCCTGATCGCAGGTATATTCGTACTAACTGAGTAAACTGTTGACCGAAGAAAATCTGATTCATGAGTTATTCTCTTTATTACATTCTGATAGTTCTGAGGGCTTCAGTCCTTCCTGGCTCTTCTTAAATTCTGCGCTACGCAGGCAAAACTTCCTCATTTTGGCCTTTAAGCTTTCTCTTGGGAAGTTTATTAATTATTAGTAACATTACTTTTTAAAACACTCTCGCCGGGATAAAATCATGCAGAATGCCAAACACTCTAGGTACCCAAGTGCGGAAATCCAAGTTACTCTAAGTGATAGATTGAGCAACTAGTAAATGACTGTAGGTACGTTTTGTATTTTATTAAATTCTACAGCTTAAGTCTGGTTAATTAATTCTTCTTTTGTCACGATAACGCCCAATTTATGAATTGGTCGGCGATAGACTAAAGTTACTGTTTTGTTTTACGAGACCGTCTTCACCGAGATATGTGTCATTGATATGTTTGGAGTACAAGTATCATCTTTCAGGTTCGTCTCGGGAGCGGTTTGTATCTCCTCCTCGTAGATTTTCTCATTTCCCGAACTATTTTCATAGGAGTGAAAAACTTCATTTCACGTCGGTTGACATCAAAGAAAAGAAATTATAGACCGAAAGCGTATAAAATATTTGCTACTAGATATTTCAGCTAAATCGCGTAGCTTTCATCAGTCGGAAGTAAGTGCATGGTTACATAGCAGTCACGTGACCTCAGGACGGCCGCTGACTTTATTTCCAATTTGCTGATTAGCTGTCATTTGTTCTTCAGTGGATCCGTCCTCAATACTTCTGATGGCAGATGGCTGTTCGCAGATGGCCCATGGACCCTATGAAAAAATGCGGACAGAAAAATAAAAAAAAAGGATGGGAAATGACATCAAAACATTAAAATGTGAAATTCAAAACGAAGAATAACGAATTTTAAGTATGGATGTCTTTAAAAGGAGAGGAAAAAAAATACATTTTTCCCTTTCGTTGCCAGGTGAAAAAAAAATTACATTTTTTAATTTACCTTGTAGAGAAGCGTCGTCATGGCAACAAGTGTGAAAGTGAATCCAACAGATTCCGAGCCTCAGCAGCTAGTCCTGCCCACAAGAAACCTTTCTCGTGGACAAAGGCGCCGTCGGATAGCAGTGATGACGGCTATGTGTGTCATTGCCATTACTGGTTTAGTAGTTGTGTCAATTTTGGACAGCGTTAAAGCAAGACAGAAGGGTATCAGGTTAAGAAACTTACGGTCTAGTGTAAATTTAAGCATTGAAGTCGCAGAGCTTGTCCATAGACTACAAATTGAGCGAGGGTCCAGGGTTATGCTCGGGAGTTCGAGTGGAGATGCCAGCGTGCGTAAAAAGGTACAGGACGCAGAAGATTTGACAGACGAGGTGGCAAAAAATCTGGACACTTGGCCAAAAGATTTGAAGCGATACCCATTTAACAGCAAAGATACATTTATGACACTTCTCAACAATCATCGTCATGGTATTAACAATAGCACCATTGAAAACGAGATTCTCTTATACTCCAGTATTATCTCCAACCTGTTTAACTGGTCCTTCCAAAACGTTCTTTTGTCCGATTACGATGATCTACCAAAGTTTATAAGCTACGAAATACTACTAATGGGAAAGGAGAAAACAGGCATCGAACGCGCGCTCGGTGGTTCCTATTTCATTCAAGGCCACTTCAATGAAACCGCAAAACTCCTATGGTTTGCCAAAGAAAACTTTCTTGGAAAGGAAAAAATAAATTTTAGCTTGACGTTAGAGCCTCGCATGAAACGTTTCTACCATAAGGCATTGAACAAGACACTTTTGTCACAGATCGAAGAGAAAAGAGAAGTCATTTTGAGCAATAAAAAGCAAGTCCCATCCGTTGATTCGGGGATAGAATGGTTCGATCTCATGACCATTTACATAGACGGGTTGCTTGATGTTCAACGTCAACTTGGTACCTTGATCCTCGAAGAAGTTGAGGACCACGTCAGTGAAAGCGACCGCGATTTGATTCTTAAGCTTCTGGTGTTTGGTTTTGTTGTTCTCATTTTGATGCCATTTTTTGTGTACAGCGTTTATACGATCCAGGCCTACGCTGCCAAGCTTCATCGAATTACCAAAGATCTTAAAGAAGAGAAAGAAAGAGCTGACACACTACTCTATCAAATGCTACCCCACCCAGTGGCAGAGCAGCTAAAGAGCGGAAGGAACGTGACAGCAGAGCAGTTCGAAAGCGTGACAGTCTTCTTCAGTGACATTGTCAACTTCACGCAAATATGCGCCAGTATTTCGCCTATGAAAGTGACGCAGATGTTAAACTGGCTCTACGGGCTCTTTGACAATCAAATCGACAAATACGACGTGTATAAGGTGGAGACGATTGGTGATGCTTACATGGTGGTGTCTGGGCTTCCGGAACCCAATCAAGATCACGTGGCTCAGATAGCCTCGATGGCACTTGATTTGGTGGGTCTTATGGAAGGATTGAGTCCTGCTGTGAGCGAAATCGAACGCGGTCATCTTTGCGTGAGAATTGGCATACACACTGGTAAGTTTTATCCCGAACCGAAGTACAGTAGAGGTCAAAAGTACATTAAATTCGGTTAAATCGTTTCAAGTACCGTATTCACTCGAGTAAGCGCTGCCTCTGATTCAGCGTTGCCCTCGAATAAGCGCAGCATTTAGGATAAAAAAGTTAAGTGCCGCGGCCGTGATCAAAATCAAAAGACTTTAGATCTGGTAGTTTGATACGGAAAATAATAATACCGTAATTAATACAATTCTTTGACGCGTCCAACTTTCGAATAAGCGCCGCACTTAAGGCGTGAAAACTCTAAAAAGCGCCGCGGTGCTTATTGGAGTAAACACGGTAATCCTTACAAAGCGCCATCACGCACGACTCCCTTCCTTGAGACCATTTAAGGAAAAAATGCCCATCTACCCCTCCCCTAAACCAACATGAACACTTAGTTCTTTCTTAGGGCAAAATGTTGGCTTAGGGAAGGGGTAGGTGGGCAGTTTCCTAGAAACGTAATATGATCCCATTTAAGTTTCGCGTGAGACTGGGTCGGTGTCGTATCGAATTGCACCATGGGAATGTTCTTGGGTGGTTATTGCTTCTTTTACTGACTATTACAAGGTTGCGCGGGAAACTAGGTTAAGAAAAGTCCTCCCAAACAGTCCCAAAGATGAATTCAACACAACATGACCCAGTAGTGGCTGGGGATCAATTTAGGTTCCTGGGAAACTGCCCACTTACCCCTCCCCTTAGCCAACGTTTTGCCCTAGGTGAGAAGTAAGTGTTAATGTTAGCTTAGGGGAGGGGTAGGTGGACAGTTTCCCAGAAACCTAAATTAATCCGCTTCGAGTTCATTTGGAAGGGTAGATGCAGCCAGATTAATTCACGTTAACAGGAGCCCATAACTTGGAGCGAGCAACTTCCATGTACTCGTGACACTGGGTTTTTACCGACCAGTTTATATTTAAAACGATTTTGGGGCGAATTTAGAATATCCTTCAAGTCCCAAAAACCAGTGAACGAAACTTACAGACCTGAAAATGGTAATTAAGGATTAATATTAAATTAATATTAAGGACGCGTACGTTTTAAGGACATAACCTATGTTCTTAAGAATATCATCTATCAGTGAAATTTTTCAGGCCCTTGTGCGGCAGGAGTTGTGGGAATCAAAATGCCTCGTTATTGTTTGTTTGGTGACACTGTCAACACGGCCTCACGGATGCAGACAACAGGAATGCGTAAGTATGAGTGATCCAACATTGATCAATATTCGGCCAACGTTGATGACCAGGCTTAAAACAGCAGCGCGGCAACTTCTTAAATAATGATGTCTGTGTTGTAGGCATGAGGTCAATAGGGTCGGGCCAGTTCAAGCCCCACGCCAGTCATATGACACACTAACTGATAGTTCGGTAGACAGGGTAGAGAAGGGCTGTAATGTCGCAATTTTTAAAAATCGATATCATCCCATAAATCAATACCCGTCGCAATTTGTGATAAACCATGTCACACACAAAAAGCGGTCGCAATTTGCAAGAACTGGTCCATTCGCAATTTGTGATAAACTACTCCCTGTCGCAATCGGATTAATTAGCATAAAATCAAAGCACTTTGCTCCTCTTGTTTTTAAGGGAAAAGCCCTAGGAGAAACATTGGATGGGAAGAGGAAAGGGAGGAAGAATCCGCCTCTTCTCTCTTGTCATAGTTCACTCCATGCTAAGCCTCTGTGGATCAAGGACAATTAAGAATCAAACGCCTACTCAGTAGTCTGTTTTAACAATCAACTTGGCACGCTCAGTCTGACAGCAATCGCTGCCCCAAGTGGGTACGGTTGAGCCGCTGAGGGTTTGAAACCCTGATCCTGTTAAGGACAAAACAATCCTAAACTCAATCTCACCGGTGCTCACCTATATCAAAGAGCACCCTTTAAAAATATGTTTGAAGGTCAACACTAGTTTTCATCTATTTTCAGCCCAGAAGATTCATGTAAGCCAAGACACTACGAATATGCTGACTCATATGAGTGAATTTACGTTGGAGTTCAGAGGCTTTGTCAGCGTCAAAGTAAGGTTTTGTTCAGCTTTTACATCTCAGTGACCGTCAAGCTCCACTTTCATAACAAATCGTCGATGGTAGTCATTAGAATTTGCATTGTTAAATAAAATCAAAATAAGTTTACCCATTCTCTAGGGTAGCAACTGGGAAGTCATGGTCCCGTTTCACGTGCAAATTTTGACAAATTTCCCGTGCTTCGTGCTTCATTTTCACGAGGCACAAATTTAGTCATCAGCCCCTCCCGCCCGTTAATAAAAGAGGCTACGAACCGGAACCACATGCGGTTTTTAGGTTCTAACTTTTTGGTAATTGTTAACCAGGACAAAAACGTAACGCAACGAATGCAACCGGCGGCACTGTTCAATCTATAATTTCTATACCATTGATTTTCTCGAAATGGCACAAAAAATTCACGAGTCCCGCATATCTTACAAGATAAATCACGCTTCATATCCATAAGTGGTCTCACAGATCACTTTCGTATTATGGAAAATTTCACGCGTCACATGCCAAATTTCGGCCTAATCACACGTCACGCATAAACCCTTTGCTACCCTCATTCTCGAGCTCGTTTGTCTAGAGATATTAAAGACCTTAAGATCGAGGTTTGTTCATTTTACTGCAAACGACGAACTGCGGTTTGCGGTTAACGGTTTCATGTTACCCGTCTGCCCATATTTGGAATTAAGATTCGCGGGTGGTAGCTCCCGGCTGCCATGTTTGTTTTCATTTATCCATTTACTTCTACTCTAGCTGAGGAATTGTCTTTAAAATTACGCTTTTTTAAAATAGAATTCAATAATCAATAAGTAAAAGAGTTCTACAAAGTCGTATTTGTTCTCAAACGTGGGATTGTGATGTTTTAGGGTGCAAAAAACCTTGCGGTAAATCACTTACCTCTGGAGCGTGGTCTCGCCGTACGAACGTGAAGCTCAAACCGCAAACCTGACGGGAAGGCACTAGTCACATGACTTTTTGACATTCGCGGTTCGCGGAAGGTGCCGAAAAACCTCGATTTTAAGGTCTCTATTGCATGATTTTTTGGCTCTCCTAGAAACCCATTGACTCCTCTTCCGCAGAAGAAAAGCCGCACAGCCTTTGGAGCAGGGTTATTTTAATAACCCTGTAAGTCTAAAATAGCTAGTTCCCAGGCGTTTCCGTTTACTCGGTCATGCAATACATGGGATTATTGGCAAACGTCCCCCTACTCAGGTCTTACCTATTAAGGTAAGATACAAAGTCATATACGTGGGAGATAATATAGATGTGCTTGGCACTAGACATTAGATTATGTAAAAATGAAAATTAAAGCAATTAAATTTTACTGTAACAATTATTGGTCTGGCATGGAGGAGATCAACATTGGCAGGAAAATGATTTCTTATTAAATAAGATGCAGATATCTTAAACATGAAGGTTGGTCAGTACCATATTATAATTCTTTCCAATTCGCTTTCTTTTTTTTTCAGGGAAAGGGTGAAATGAAAACCTACTGGCTTTCAAAACAGGAGACATGAATCATATCACCTTGATTAGGGAAGGGGTAATATGCAAAAAACTTCAAGAGTTTTTAGCCCCATCGCATACACTCAGTGGTCGATAGAATGAACTGGATCAGAGAGGACACGTTATAGAGCGTTTTCACTCACTTGACCTGCATTTATGCTAACCAAACAGTGTTTTATGTTAAATAAATACATAACACATAATGGCGTTCATTCAGGCGAATCACAATTTATTTCTACTAATATACTACTACATGGGAGATTTCTGCAATTTGATTTGCTTAGAGCAGTGGCATTTCAGCTTAATTTGAAATACCTACAGGTGAGGATTACAAAACGTTTGCGGGTAGTAGTATAAACAAATAATAGCATGATTTGTACGTGTTATTTGGCATAAATACGACCACTCGTGATATTTCAAAACTGTCTCAAATTTCACTCACCTAACGGGTCGTGAAATTACGTTTAACAATTTCGAAATATCACTCGTAAAATTTATACCAAATATCACTACAAGTCATGCTATTACCTATACTAAGACTGGAAATAGTTCACACTAGCAAGGCAAAAGAATTGGTCTGTTAATTTAGAACACAAAGAGCCAAGCTTTATTAAATTAGTGTTGCTTCTCTTGTTTCTTTTCCTTCTTTTGATCGCTGATTTTCTTCCCATTCTTCTCTTGGCGATGCCCATTAAGCCGTGCAGGGTATGGTGATGGGTAAGGAGAAGGGTAGGGATAAGGGTGGGGGGAAGGGTAGGGGGTGGGGTAAGGAGAAGGGTAGGGATAGGGGTAGGGATAAGGGTGAGGGTAAGGGTATGGGCTTGGGTATGGCGCCATATTCGGGTCAGACTTGTGTCCAGAACCTGAAAAATAAAAATTGTTAAATCATAAGGACATGGTAGATCTTTTCCAAAAATTTCACGATAGTTTCAAGACTAGAGTAAGAACTTGTGTTGGATTGAAAGATGTGACTGGTTAATAACCGGTTATAAAAGCTTTTGAATTTGTGTGGAGAATAAGGCTACGGGAAAACAGAATGCAATAAATGTGAAGCAAAGCGCTGAGTAAGGCTTTACTCTTAAAGTTCCCACGTTGGGGTAACAATCAAAACAAAACAATAATCTATGAATCAAAATGTTCACTTTGACCATATTCGATGATCAAATGTTGATATTTGTGTGTTGATCCATTCGTTGCCAGTTGAGGTAAAATATGGAAGGATAAGTGTTGGACCGTTAGAGTCTAGGCCTAGGCCAAACAAACGTCGAACTTTTCATGAGACAAATCAAACTCTAATTTAGGTCTATCTAAATTAAGTTACGACCGTCTTTTGGGTCAGATGTCGAACTCAGGACTCGTCGAATTAATCAACTGAATCAGACCAAAACGCAATTTTAATAAATTTTCTCCCGATGCTAAATATACATTATCGTACAAATTTTTAATTTGTTAGTTTAGTTCGTCGTCCGATTCGTCGCGAGAAGATCGACGTTTGTCTCGGAGACGATCTTCAGACGTTCTATATCCGTCTGAAGCAGACGGATAGAACGTGTTAGACGATCCAAACTTATTCAGACGAACTTCACTGAGCCAGAAGTCGAACTTTTCATCTACGTAACTCACCAAGTTTGGTTCGTCTCATGAAAAGTTCGACGTTTGGCCTAGGCCTAAGACAATTGGCCAAATAAAGACCTTTCCAGCTTGTATGTTTTGTTTTCCCAATTCAGACCAGGTGATGTTCTCAAGTGAATTAATTTGCCTTTTGTCTTTCATAAATTATGCATGCAAATGCACGTGGATGCACGTTTTTCGTAAACTCCAGGCCCAAAATTGGTCGCGATCGCTTATAAATCCTGGTTTTTACTAGGGCATAAGCATAAGCATAAGCCGTAAGCACAAGCACATGTGCAAGCAGGTGAAAATTGGGTCGACATAGGCATAAGCACAAGAAAAACGGACAAGTTCGTTCTTCTTGTGCTTATTCTTATGCTTAAGTTGTAGCTTTGATTTGTGAAAACGGGGTCGACATAAGCACAAGCATAAGAACAAGGCCGTGGACCACTCATAGGTCACTTTGAACCAGACATCATGCGAACATATCAAAAGCAATATGGCGGACGCTTCGTCCGCCATCTGGTCTATCATCGGGTTGAGGAGAGCTGGGATCGAAAACTGAGTCAAAAATGCCATTCTGCGCGTGGGTATGTCCTTAAGCTTATGCTTATGCGCTAGTGAAAACCAGGCTTTAGAGGTGGTTGTTACTAGAGGTTCCCATTATCGCGCTTTGAATGTGAAAATTTTGGTGAACATTTTGGATAGGTGGTCGCTTGTAAGAGGTATTGACTTACGAGAGGTGGTCGCACATGGAGGTTCGACTGTATATGTTTTCCTCCAGGTAAAGAATAGTACTAGTAATAACCAAAGGTTACAAGTGTGGGTGAAAACGATCGGAAGTTAAAACACTTTTGCTCCAACGCTTTGCTTTGCGTAAGTTTCACGTGACAGATAGTCAAAACACGCGTGATCAGATTACGCGTGATAGAAGGTCCAAACGCGCGCGTGATCAAATTGCGTTCTGTGCAATCCATCCATTCTTAGTAAAAGTCCAGACGAAAGCTGGCTACATACTTGCGGCGCATGCGTAATAACTAGTAACAAGCAAAGGTTACGGAGTGCGGGCGACAACGATCGAAGGTTAAAACGCTTTTGCTCAAACGGAGGGTGCTCCATCTCCTTCAGTCGGGTTTACAAAGCAACTACACTGTTGAAAACACAGTGTAGTTGTTTTAGTTTTCCTTAAAATAATTGATGGATCAAAGTTTTGCAAGTAGAGTTAAAGGTACGGTCTGTGGATTGGATGGATGTGCTGTGAATTTATTATATACCTCATTGATAATAATAGTTCTTGTACTCCAGCCCAGTGGTATCATTGTCTGTTCAAAAGAAGGTGTTGCCTGGTACAAGTTGTGTCTTTTTACTTGACATTAGTTAGGTTTTTTTTTTTTAAATTTGAGCGCTTAGCAAGTTGCCGGGATATTCTCCTTGCAATTGAGGTACATAACAGTTTGTCGCTCTATACTAGTTTCTCACGTCACTTGATTAAACTCCTTCCAAAGGACAGATCAAAAGTAGGAAAGATAGGAAAGATTCTAATTTTCGTGTTGTACTTACAAACAGACACTACCCGGCGAAAGAAATTTTTTATTGAAATAATCACATCGATTTCCGCCCTCCTCCCTCGAATTCCCTTAACATTGGCCGATCTGGCGGGAGCGAAGGACCCGGGCCCCACCTTAGTTTAGGTCACAGTGAAGCCCGCAGGGTTGAGAAATACAGTCAAACGTCTTTAGCCTGCGTAGCTGGCGGTGTTGTGTAGTAGTCGAGTGAGATTTGACAGCGGAGCCGTCACGAGCGGCGAAGCCTCGTCCCTACTCCCTTTTTTTGGAACACGGCTCCGCCGTCAAAACTTCAATCTCCCACCCACACAATACCGCCAGCTACGCAGGCTAAACGTCTTTAATACGGACACCAAAGGGACCGAACCAAGTGTCTGCTTTACAGAGGTGTCCGTATTATAGAGGTAGGGAATGTATGGTTTTTGGTATTTCTGGGACCAAACAAACTGTCCGTAATAGAGAGGTGTCCGTAAGGAGAGGTTAGACTGTAAAACGTATCACCTTGCCGTTCCCGTTCTCAAGAGAACTTAATCTTGAAGTTAAAATTTGGTCATTTCACGCCGCAGTTGTACAAGGACGACGGAGAATCTACAAAAAAGCGTTGTTTTGCTTTTTAAACATGTTGCCTTTTTGAAGTTCCTGTTGACGTCGCCGTTGTAGTTTCTTAAGGTCCTAATAATTTTTGAGGCCGGGGCCCCTTCTTTATCTTAGCATCATGGCTGAACGGGGCCCCCACTTGCTTGAAGATCTGTATCTACTTCAGCTTTACATGCTCGCTCATCTCAATTGCCCCTATTTTCTTTTCCTTTCAAACGCCTCAGTACCACACAGGATATTGTTACTTAATTAGAAAATCGATAAAGGGTTTGGTAGATTCACTGACCTTCACCAGATGCACTGGAGAAATAATGATCAGCTTCCGGTTCCTCTTCGAGTTCTTCCTCGTGCTTTTGATTCATCTTCGTGAGGGATTCGTCATTCTCCGTGGACGTTTTTCCTCCTGATTTTGACTCCGTTAAGGTGGCCATGAACATGAAAGCCAAAAGGCCAGCGATTACGAGGAATGATCTCTTCATTGTAGCTCTTCAAAATTGAAATGCAATTGATTTTTAAAAACTAAATCGCCCTTCAATCGGAGTATTTTATTGGCTGGTTGCTATAGAGCACGCGAGGTGAACAAATGAGCTCAAATTTCTCCTCAATCATTCAAAAAATTTCTCTCTTAATCATCGCCCTAGAAAAAAACAACAACAACAACAACAAGAACAAGCGCCTACTGCGTAGCCTAAGAATTTTGTTATGTATCACTAAAGAAAAAAGTGTTTGTATGTAAGTGTTGGCAATTTCGAATCATCTGATCAAGCGAATTCGAAAGCTGTTTTTTAATTACATTGTTTTTAAATTATATAACCTGACCGAAATTGTGTTGGAGTACTTATTAATTCACACTATATTCAATGCATGAGGAAATACTTTGTTAACCTCCAGTCACAATTCCGCCGACATCTTTTTTTTTCTTTTTTTTAACTATCTCAATCTTGAGTTAGACGCAAGAGTGGTAAGCAGTTATCCATTCGATGAATAGTGTTATCCGTGAAAGTGTAAAGGCACTCAGATAGTAGCAACAATTGTATATAAGTTGGTACTGGCCGGCCAAAGCAGTTGAATTTCCCTAATAGCACGTATCAAGTCTCTTGTGCGTGCCTCACAAAATATATTCCCAAGACGACTATAGTATGTTTCGTCCAGCTACGGCCCTGGAGCCATATAAGGGAAGTCAAAACACCATCACTTCTGATATCATGAATCGCCAAGTTTGCAAATGAAATCCAGAGAAATACTCTGTTATAGCACAAAAAGATTAAGAATTGATAATCAGCTTCTTGCTACTTATTCTTTTTTTTCCAATTTACTCGAAAATCAAACCATACATGGTTTAACTTTTATGGTATAGAGAGGTTGTGAAATTAAAAAAAAAAAGAAAAACAAACAAATAATCAAACAAACAAGAATCGTTAAGTTTAAATATACCTTCTTTTTCTTACCTTTCAAGATTTCTAAAAACAAGTAGCTCAGGCGTGTAGTCCTTGTCCTTAAAAAACCCCAAACTAAAATTTTATTTGCATCTACTAGACCTTATAAATCAACAATACAAACTAAACTTAAATATTTAAAAATATAAAACGGGTTCAACTTGTGGACTTCTCGCGATACCAGAGACGGCCCTCTATTGTTATAAGGAAGACTGAGTGATTAATTCAAGCAAATGTGTGATATGATATTAATTATTATTATCCTTATATTGTCTTAAGAGTTGTCAGCAGACTCCAGTTTTCACATGTTCTCTGGTACCCGAGATCCAGCCACACCCATCCCCATTGTCTTTTATTATAAATTTTGCTTGGAAATCGATAGCCTCCTTCCTGAGGGGCCACCAGCTTGCAGGCTAAGAAAGCTACTTCGTTTAGCTTTCTTTGAATTTTTTTTTTAATTCGACTACCTGTGATCAATTCAAGCTTCCAGGTTCCTTTCATTTTCCTTATCCGCTGGGTCACGGTAAATGAAAGCCCCCCTCATGCCTTTTTTTCTCTGCCAGGTAAACGCGAAGCAATGTAACAGAAGATTAGAGTGATTTTACTTAACCCGTGAAACAGATACTCAGTAACAACTACTGCAAAATAGCAACGATAAACAAAAGAAGACAATAGAATTAGTGCTTGCTTTTAAGTGCGTAGTGCTGTACTTCATATTTCACGGAGTAGGTAAAATGACTCTATAATCAAACAATGATGGTAAAAAGTTATGTGTTCATTTGATAAAACCATGGAGTATTAAGAAATGTACCACAGTCGATGATATCCTTCACTTTTTAAATTTTTATTCCCATCTATTTAAATAACTTCATTATCAAGATACTTGAGTACACCAGGTTGCTGCAGGTTTTTTGGAGTGTTTGAAAAATAGAGAGGTTTAGATTCTAAGACGAGGACGACTACAAGCACGAGATTTTCTCAATACTAAGTAGTGCGCACGCATGAACCAGTGTTATTTTGGCGGAAAAACGTGGTAGCAGTCGTCATTCTATTATGAGGTTTTATAGCGAGAATATTGTACTAGTGACAGAAACAAGTTATCAAACGTTCGATGTTTTATCATTTCGCAATTGAGGAAGGGCTTAATGTCCTTCAATAAAGATAACAGTGCTAACATTTCGGGTGAAAATAAAAACTGCAATGACGCTCTCTAGGGTGTATATGGCGAAAAAAAAATTATCTGTCCTCGTCGTCGTTCTCATCTTGGAATCTAAAGGTCTCTATAAACTGAAAGTGGCTCATATTCACGGTCGATAGGTCAAGTCAGTGCTGCTTTGATTCCTTTCCTTTTTTTTCGTCTCTGAGTTTCTGCTTCTCTTTGTTTTTGCCGCTTTCTTGATACTTCTGGTGGTGAAGGACTGGGTACGGCACGTGCTCGGGATAGGGACCTGGCAAGGACTCAGGCCCCGCTTCAGGGTAAGGATGAGGATATGGGGAGCCTGGGAACGGATAGTTGTGATGATGAGCTGAAGAAAGACAAACGGAAATAACAATGACATAATCAGTCATTTGACGAACGGTGAGACTTGGTTAAACAGGAGCCCATAACCAGGCCCAAGCGATAGCAACTTCCATGCGCTCTTTAACTAGACTGTGAGCAGTCTCTTATTTTTCTTTGCAAAGTTACTACACGCAAAACCTAAGCACGCGAGCGCCGAAGAGGCTTGCTTCGAGAAACGAGGGCGTAAGCCCGAGAAGAAAAAATAAGTCGTCTCGTCTCGATCCCTGTATAATAACATCGTGGTCTGCAATCGCGCTGGAGGGGATCAAGAACTAGACGGATTTTAAGAGAAAAGGCGGACTGCAAGCAGTCTAATCTTTAACGAAAACGTGGGCCTTAGGCTTTTGGTGGAAAATACCGTAGATATCTCGAACATTGGGCTTTAGCAAGAAGCGTCGGGTGAGCGTTGATCAAAAAATGGTACAGAAAATATTCCAGGCATTCAAGTGGAAAAAAAGTGAAATTCTTCTGAGGAATTCTATCTTTTCCAGAAACGTTCGACCGAAAAAAACCGTACAATTTGAAAGTTAAATAAAGAAAAATTCCGCTTTAGTAAACTCTCGTAGGCACCCACGGCTATTTGTGGTGAAATAAACTGAAATAGGTTTAACAAACACAAGATGACATATTAGTTATTAATTCATCGAAAAGTTATTTTTCCCGTCCTTCAGCCAATCTCAATGACTGCTCTTGAACTTTTTAAACCCCCAGAGACTTAAAAGTCTCTGGGTTTTCTACTTTGGTACCAGTAACATTACGGCGCCTTGGTTACGAGGGTGGTTCCTCTTGGCTGAGACAAGTCCCGTGCTTGTCTTCGTTTTACGCCGGTAATTTATTTCCCATTTTTGCTTCTAGCCGCATACATTAACGCTTTCAAACAGTCTCAACCGCTCCTCTGACCATTTTTTTCTTCGCACATGACAGTAATGCATGCTCTCATTATTTAAGACATTTAACTCTGTGAGCCCAGATGAGGTGATTTTAGATCTTTTTTCCCCACATCTTTCTAAATGCTCCCCCACAGACTATATGTAAGGGTTCTGTTGTCATTATGCCTAACTGATATTTTAATGAAGCAGCATGGTTAGCTCAGTTCCAAGGGACAACGCCGATCTGCAGAGCGGAGGTCGCAGGTTCAATCTCGGCCTGACCAACACTCAGGATCTTTAAATAACTGAGGAGAAAGTGCTGCCTTTGCGATGACATCTGCAAACGGTGAGACTTTCTAGTCTTCTCAGATAAGAACGAAAAAACCGTAGGTCTCGTCTCACAGCATTTTCAATTATCTGGTTCTTGTGGGACGTAAAAGAACCCACACCACTGTTCGAAAAGAGTAGGAGGCATACACCCTGCATGGAGGTGTGACCAAACTCTCCTGAGCTGGGTGGGTCAGTTATCTGTAAGGAAGCACTTAAATTGGAGCTTTACTCTGTTGTATGTTCCGCACCAAATGGTGGAAGTGATTAAATGAATAAATGAAGAAATTGGTCATTTAACTATTTCTTTACCGTCATTTAGGCCACTTCCTGACTGATTTTTTCCCTTAGATTCGTCCTCTGATTTGTCTTCCTTCTCGTTTTCATCATTGTTTTTGTCTTCCCCTTTCGTAGTGGCTTCGAGATTTTTCGTTGCTTTTTCGGGCTTCTTCGCGACGGGTTTTGCCTCCGTTAAAGTAGCCATGAACACTAAAGCCAAAAGGCAGGCAGACAAAAGAAAGATTCCTCTCATGGTAGCTTTTGGTTTCTGGAAAGACATAAAAGTCAGTACGAAAAAAAAAAGAGATGTGTCCATACTGACATATATTACAATATAATTGACACGTCTCGGCATAAAGCCTTTCCGGTATGAAAACTGGCACCAAATTTTACAAAACATTTTTCGTTCCTTTTATCACTTTTAACGTCAAAATTAATCAATAACTGATGTGACCTTTATGGGTTTTTAATCCAGTTTTTTAAACTTAAAAATTGTGATAATATCAATATTGTATGTCTCTGGCCGATTATGGTTTCTTTTCGTTTTAAAATTCGGAAATCGTTGTATATTTGGTATGATACTCAAACTTTGTTACAATAAAATGGAATGTTTATACAAATATAAGCATTTTTTATATGGTGCGTAAACGATGAAGAGATACCCTTTAAAACGAAAAACGTCTAGCAAGAACTGATATGAGTGAATCGAAGATCCATGTTTTAAATAACTCGTTGCCTCTTACCCTTCGTGGCGTCGTACAGATGAATCTTTGGCCTTGCTGATCGATGTCTGTGAATTGGATCCTCTGTCCTATGAGTTTAATATCATGGTAAATGAATTATTCATGAAAATCGACGGGTTTGGTTCATATCAGTCTCTAACTATTGGCAGGCTACAAGTGTGGTACTCTAAGCTGTCCATTGATTACGCCCCTGCTTTAACCCTCTAACGCTTTCAGCCCTATTATCAAAATTTCAATTCTCATCAGTTTGTCTGTTTACATTACCTATAGAAGTAGTGGGGAGAAGTTGTTATAGTATCAACTGAATTAATCTTGTGTGAACCTGTACTAAATTCTTACACCATACTATTTTATAAAGCAATGACATTATTAGGAGAAATTTCATTCTGATCTCTCTTAAGGTTTAAAGGGTTCATTTCTTTTTCTGCTTAAAAACGCCGCTTTACACGATTTGTTTATTTACACCAATACTGACCAACTGCTCGTCTTTTCCTAGAAAAAGTGAAACGATCCTGCTTTGGAAAGCCTCAAAAATAAAGAAGCTGGTCCATCATTTAATGGTTACAGACATAACAATTAAAACTTTAGATACTAGTAAACGAAAATTCTATAAAAATTTCATGGCACTAAAGGTCATACCACATGTGAATTAGGTCATCTGTGTCCAGATTGCCCGGAAAACCAAAACGATTAAGGAGTGTATAGCATCACTACGTATATACCGTAAGTGACATAAAGAATCCTTTAAATTTGTCACTCTGCTCCTGCGGAAGAGAACGCTAGTACCTACATTTATATAGGTAAAACAGGTTGAGCATGCAATGATCGTCAGGGTGAACGTAGTTCTGGCCTGAATAGGAATGTTGTTAACTCTTGGTTTGTCATCAATTTTTAATGCCGGTGAACATCTTTGATCAGATCTCTTGTGGACGAAACCGACAAGAGATCTGGGTACCAGATTGCCCTCCACACAGACGGTTTAAGGCTTCGTCACGCTTTACAACAACGTCGTTCCCCGGGTTCTCTCCTACTCGTCACTTCCCCGGGAGAGAACCCTGGGAACGAGTTTGGAGTTAAAAAGCCCTAAGAACGTCTGAGTTGGAGGCTGTTCGTAATTTTTCAAATTATTCATTTGCCTAATTATGGCCAAACCAAACTTAATACTAATCCTTATCATGTCTTAACTCATGATCATTTAAATCATATCTAAACTTTGCCAAATCACAACCTGAAAAATATCTTATCCTTGACTTAAAATTACCGAATCATAACTTGTAACTGCTTAAAGA